CTTTGTTTGTGATTAATTGACCATGAATTTGTGGGTTTATTTCTGGGCTTTCTATCCTGTTCCATTGATCTTTATTTCCATTTTTGTGCCAGTACCATACTGTTTTGATAACTGTAGCTTTGTAGTATAGTCTAAAGTCAGGGAGATTTATTTATCCATCTCCTTTCTTCTTTCTCAAGATTGCTTTGGCTGTTCAAGGTCTTTTGTGTTTCCATATGGATTGTGAAATTTTTTGTTTTAGTTCTGTGAAAAATGCCATTGGTAATTTGATAGAGATTGCATTAAATCTGTAGACTGCCTTGGCTGGTGTGGTCATTTTAACAATATGGATTCTTTCAATCCAAGAACATGGTATATCTCATATATCTTTCTAGCTCTGTGTGTCATCTTCGGTTTCTTTCATTTGTGTTTTATAGTTTTTGGGGCACAAGTCTTCTGCCTCCTTAGAGGCAGGTAGGTGATGGTAAATGGGGTTGTTCCCTTAATTTCTCTTTCTAATAGTTTGTTGTTAAAATACGGAAATGCAACAGATTTCTGTATATTAGTTTTGTACTTGCACTTTACCAAATTTTTTGATAAGCTCTAGTAGTTTTCTGGTGGCATCTTTAGGATTTTCTATATATAATATCATGTTATCTGCAAATAGTGACAGTTTTACTTCTTCCTTTCCAATTTGGATATATTCTATTTCTTTTTGTTGTCTGACTGCTATGACTAGGACTTTCAAAAATATGTTGAATAAACAATAGTGAGAGTGAGCATCTTTGTATTGGTCCTAACCTTAGAGGAAATGCCTTCAGCTTTTTACCATTGATCTTAGCTGTGGGTTTATCATATATGGGCTTTATTATGTAGAGGTATGTTCCCTCTATGCCTACTTTCTGGAGAGTTTTTTAAAAAATCATAAATGGATATTAAATTTTATTAAAAGCTTTTCTGCATCTGTTGAGATCATCATGAGGTTTTTATTCTTTAATTTGTTATTATAGCTTATTACACTTATTGATTTGTGGATATTGAAAGACCCTTGAATCCCTTGGATAATATTAATATATAACTTTTATTAGTCATTAAGATTAAACCATTATAAGTTTTATTAAACCTAGAGCCATTGTAACTTAAAAAAGTTACAATTTGAAAAGTTTTTTGATTCTTTGTCCACTGCAGCAGTTAATAGCTCATTTCTCATTTTCTGTGGTCTGGGTTCAAGTATCAGTTCCTCCATTTATTAGCTGCAAAATTGACCCAAGACAAATTATTCCACCGAGTTCAGTGTTCTCATATAAAAAAATGGGAGTAATAATGGTAACTACGTTATGTGATTGGTGAGAAGATTAAATGAGTCCTTTATTTGCAAAGCAGCAAGAACAGTGCCTCCCCCATGATAGGTACCTTGTGGTTTTAAATGAACAAGTATACACTTAATGATGCTCACTGCCATCATGTTAAAAGGAAGTCTGGACTGAGAGTGATGAGGCAAAACCTGCATTGGTCAAGCACTCAAACCTATGGCAGCTCTGTCACTCAAGGGATGTGTCAGCTTCATCACTTTGTTTAACCTGACACTTCCTTCTTATACATAGAGAAGAGATTCAGAATGATGGATTTTTAAAAAATTTTTTTTTGGGTGCCAGAAACAGAGTGATGGATTCTTATTATTGTTCTGAGGATTGAATGAGATGATATGTGTAAAGTACTTGTAATGAGTCAGAGATTTCTCTGCCACCACATCTGGATGGGCAGAGAACATGTAGCTCCTTAATTTTGATTTTCACTCATGTGATCTTCCTCCTCAGCAAACTCTTGCTGATTAGAAGGAAAATTAATCGAATGTCCAAGTTGTTTTAAATAGTAGTCTGCCATATTGATTTTAGATAAAGCTTCGTGTCTGGGAAAAAGTGTTCAGACTTTCAGCTCTCTCTGTGCCAGACTCTTCTGGCCTCCTCTCTAAGATGAGATGCGAGTTTGTGGGGAAGGTGAGGGGCGGAGGCAGTCTTGGTGGGAGGGAGGAGTCCACAGCTCTAGTTAATGGGGTTCACTGCCCACTTGTCTCCCCACCTGTTGCATGGTCCACTGGCATTCTTGACTAAGATCTGAGCTGGTGTAACAAGGACCCTGGTGTCTTTGGGATTGTTTAGGATATGGCAGTCTCCATGGCGTCATCTTATTCTCAGTGGTATCACAGGCCTTCTGCAACCCCACCCCATTTCAGGAGCATTGGCCAGTTGCTCCTGAATGGACTGTTCACAGCCAGCCTTTGCTAGTGCACCATCTCATTCCTCTCCAGGCTGGCATACTGACTCTAAGTTCAGCCGCTTTCTAATTTCTACCCGTGGGGAGCTGAGAACCCTGGGATCCCAGCCCTACCACAGTCTTTCCCCTTAGGCAACCAAGAAAGTGTGAAAGTGTTAGTTGCTCAGGCACGCCTGACTCTTTGTGACCCCATGGGCTGTATCCTGCCAGGCTCCTCTGTCCATGGATTTCTCCAGGCAAGAATACTGGAGAGGGTAGCCATTACCTCCTCCAGAGGATCTTCGTGACCCAAATTGGTGCTCAGAAAAAACTACACTCCGAGCTGTCTGTCTGCCTAACTGCCTCCACATGGACTTTGGAGTGGGGCAACCTGACAGGTGGTGTTTTTCTAGAGCCCTGAGCAGGAACAGGGTTAGAACCCTCATTCCTCTGACTTTCCCAGGTCTATACAACACATTCCAGCCACTTCACTCCTTCCCCTGCTTTTCCTCTTCTCAAATCCCCTGGGATGAGGATGAGGATGGGATTTCCTCTCTCTCTCCTGTGTCACATCTTTTCTTCACTGTGGGGAGAATTCTTCAAGTCTTTGTATGTGGAAGGTGATACAGACATTGAAAAATTCTTTCTCAAGACAGTGTATTAGTAAGCCTTGCATAAGACCTATTTTGAGTGCCAAATTTTCCTTCTTTCTGTCTCAGGCTTGGGCTCAGGAGTGTCCGACTCTCTGTGACCCCATGGACTGTAGCCCACCAGGCTCCTCTGTCCATGGGAATTTTCAGGCAAGAATCCTGGAGTGGGTTGGCATTTCCAACTCCAGGGGATCTTCCCTTCCCAGGGATCAAACCTGCGTCTCCTGTGTCTCCTGCATTGGCAGGTGGATTCTTTATCACTGAGCCATCTGAAAAACCCTCTTTCTGTCCTAAGGATATTTTTTATTTGAAAGGCAAGAGAAGAACACAGCAATATTTTCCCAAATATTAATGCAAAGTAAGCGCATAGTCAACATAAACTTTCCTCTGATGACGATGATGATTAAGTAACTGTTAGCACAGCCTAGTTGCTATTTGCATTGCTTTTACCTTTGGATGACTTGCAGTTTCAGAGACCAGACTCTTGGCGTTGTGGCACACAAGCTCCACCTCTTATGGCTTTCAGCTCTTCCTGCTTTCTCTTCCATCTGTCTGGACACATAGGCCTTCCTGTTCTTGGAACATGCAGTGATCTTTCTTTCCTTGGGGCTTTTGGAAGTGCTGTTTCCTCACTCAAAACCCTGCTCTTGTTTTCCCCAGCATCTCCTCATCTTTAGGATCTGCCTCAACTGCTACCTGTTCACTAATTTTCCTGGGTCTTCTCTGGCCACCCTCACCAGAGTGGCCACCCTGCTTTACTTAGTGTCTGTTGTAACCTCCTCCTTATTTCCTTTCCTGTATTTGTCATATTTTTAAATGTTTACACATTTGTTATCTGTCTCCTTCACTAGAATGTAAACTTTGAAATGACATGGACTGTATCTCTTACTCTGGGTTACAGCCAGAGCTTAGCAGAGGGCCTGGCACATACTAGTGTGAAATGTTAGTTGCTGTCATGCCCAGCACTTTAAAACCCCGTGGACTGTAGCCCTCCAGGCTCCTCTGTCCAAGGAATTCTCCAGGCAAGAATACTAGAGTGGGTTGCCATTCCCTTCTCCAGGGGATCTTCCCATCCTAGGGGTTTAACTCAGGTCTCCCACATTGCAGGCAGATTCTTTACCATTTGAGCCACCAGGGAAGTTGCATACAAAGAGAGCAGTAAATGGTTATTGAATGGGTGAATAGGTGATTGAATAGTAACCAGTTTTAGATATAAGGAATCATTATTATTGTTAACACTGGTGACATGGATGTGCATGAAAGAAGCATGCCTTATAAGTACAGAAATAAGATAAATAAGATTTCTGTATTTTTATTACGTACAATGTCATTGTGACAGTGGGTCCCTCTATCTTTATTATTTTGCTTTATAAGGCTGGTAAGAGGAGGCGGTGGCTAGCACTGCCTTCCAAACAAGATTAGAAATCTTTTGAAGGGAGATGTCGTGACTCATCTTTCTCATACATATTTTAGATGTTTAGTTGTTGGATACATGCATGACCCAAGGTTATATGTGGTGGTAGTGGGAGATGGGTGAGAGAGGAAATTACATGCCATCATCTTCTGTGTGATTAAACTGGGAAGGCTTCAAAGAGAAGGCAGTATTCTAGAAATTATATGATTGATAGAAGGAAAGCCACACATTTATTTTATGGATGAAGGGTGATTGTCAAATTGTGAGCTGATGAGTCCAGAGTTTCTGTTAGCCGTTGATTTCTTAGGCAGAAATTTTCACTTAAACAGAGAGTTTTAGGGTACAAACAAGTAGAGTGTGTTAGTCACTCAGTTCTGTCCAACTCTTTGTGACCCCATGGACTGTAGCCCACCAGGCTCCTCTGTCCATGGAATTCTCCATGGCAAGAATACTGGAGTGGGTTGCCATTTTATTCTCCAGGGGATCTTCCCAACCCAGGGATTGAACCTGGGTCTCCTGCATTGCAGGCAGACTCTCTACCGACTGAGCTACAGGGAAGACCTCCACAAACAAGTGGAAATGACTCATTTAAGGATTTAAATATGTAAGCCTCCACAGAGAAAGATCAGAGGTGGGAATGGAGCAAAAGGATTGTTTCAGAGACCATCACTGTGTAACAAATTACCTCAAAACTTAGCTGCTAGAAACAACCGTTTTCTTACACTCACCTGAAGGCTATGGGCCAAGAAGTCGGGACGCAGTGGGGCCAGGTCCACGGTTTGCTGGCGTGTCTGGTGACCATGGCCCCATTGAACCCCTCTGTGTGGGTTTCTTACAGCCTGGTTGTGGAAGGGGTGTCAGGCACCGTCCTGGAACTCAGGCCCCAACATACACCCATTCCCATAGAGGGGGCACGTGGCCTTTCCTGGCTGACCACAGAGACCACACAGCCTCACTTACCTGTCCTCTCTGGGTCACACAGCCTCCCCAGACTCAAGGGAAGGGGACAGAGACCCCACCCATTGATGGGAAGGGTATCTAAAGATTTTGGAACCATGTTTTAAGCTACTCCAAGAATACAGGACTTCCCTGTAGCTCAAATGGTAAAGAATCTGCCTGCAGTGCAGGAGACCAGAGTCTGATCCCTGGGTTGGGAAGATCCTCTGGAAAAGGGTATGGCAATCCACTCCAGTATTCTTGCCTGGAGAATCCCATGGACAAAGGAGCCTGGTGGGCTACAGTCCATGGGGTCGCAAAGAGTCGGACATGACTGAGCGATTAACACACACACACACACACACGAATAAAGGAATGAAATTTCAGAATTTTGTACTTGGGATGAGAAGATAGGCCTGTGACTGTGCTCTGGATCCAGGTTATGTTTGCTGTGCACACACTCTGACCTTTGATGGCTTCTTGGGTTTAGTTAGAGCTCTTTTTTGAGGATCTTCCAAGAGAAAAATTTCCTTCCTTAACTTTGATGTGCTCGGGGGCTGTGAACTGGATGACAGTTGCTTGAAATCTTGGTGGCTGTGATAAAGCAGGTGGAGGAACTTGTATATATTATACAAGCCCCTTACCATGGAGGGAGCAGCTGCTCATGAGAACCTTCCCAAACACTGACTCTCCTTCTCCACTCTAGCCCATACTGCTTAGCCTCCTCTCTTTCCATCACATCTCTCCCCCTGGCCTTTTTCATTCCTTATTTCCAGTTCCAGTTGGCATCTAATTTTGGCCACTGCTCTCAGTTCTTAGAGTGAGCAGGCCTTACCAGGCTGAGCTTAGGGTACTTTTTTTTTTAACCAGCCACTGGGAAGCAGATTGAAAACTCTGAACTCACTTTTACTGCCATTCATTTCAACATAATTTATGAGAGATAGAAGGAATGGGTATTAGCTAATTGTGCCACGTAGTCTATTTTCTCAAGAATGCTTATTTTTATTAACACAGCAGATAGAAAGAAAATGAGATTAATCTTCATCAAACAGCCTGCCAAAGTAAAGCTGAGAGTACTAAGCAGCCAGGAATGAAGTAAAGAACTGCAATCACATTATTGCTATTTTGGGATTTTGCATTAAGCTCCCACACAATAATCAAATAGTGGAGCACAATCATCAATTTTGCCCAGAATTTAGGAATGTGGCAGCTATGTTGGGGTACATTTACAGGAAAATCATGAGCTCAAATGGAATTTGTGGCGGACTATATATCAATTTACGATCAGGATAGACAGTATTAGAAACTCTAGACTTTACCCATTAATCACTGTAGATGTGGCATCTCAAAGAGAGAAGAGTTACGACTGATATAAATAGCACATTGAGAGGTTTTGCTTTAGATAGAGAAAACAGTTGAAGGAGCGTGGGATAGCACCTTCATTGTGTCCAGTCCCTCTTCTTTTTCCTTTTAATTTTAAAATTAATTTTCCATATAAGAGTCCTATACTTGAAATGTTTAGACATGGACATTTTAAAAGGAAGATACATACATGGCCACTTCGGACCCACTGTTGACAGGTGGTAGGAAAGGGGTAAATGTGTTTATTTATTTACTTATGCCTGCGCTGGGTTTTCATTGCTGTGTGCGGGCTTTCTCTAGTTGTGGCGAGCAGGGACTACTCTCTAGTTGCCATGTGCAGGCCTCTCATTGCGGTGGCTTCTCATTTAGAGCAAAGGCTCTAGGGCTCATGGGCTCAGTAATTGTGGCACGTGGGCTTAGTTGCTCCACAGCATGTGGGATCTTCCTGGACCAGAGACTGAACTCATGTCCCCTGCATTGGCAGGTGAATTCTTAACCACTGGACCACCAGGGAGGTCCTAGGAATGGAGTAAATTTGGATAGGGATGCTTACCAATTATTTTGGCACCAAATTAAATTTCATTTTGTTGGTATTTTGATTCAGGAAGCAATATCTTGATTCTTTTCCTCGCTGATGGTAATGGCATTTTTTGTCCTTTGTTAACAATGAAATTATAGAAAAGAAAGTAAAATGTGCAAGATGATCTGTTGCATGAAGAGCCACCTCAAGCCCATCTGTTGGAAAGAATAAGGAACCTCAATAGGTGGAGCTGGTGCTGTGAGGAGAAAGTGGGATGTGGTGGAAAGTGCCTAGGCTTTAAAGCCCAATTTGCTTTTGAATTCATATTCTACTAGTGTTTCTTGAGCTAGATACTTAACTTCAGTAATCTGTAACCTCTGTGTTGAGAAGAATAATCACTAACTGGTGAGGATGTTCTAGAGATGAGGGTGGGGAGAAGACAGGTTAAGCCAGAGGTTACAAACGCTAGTTCTTCCTTTTCTTGGACAGTTGGACAATCAAGTGAAACATTGTTGCCTAGTTTTGATGGGATGGCCACTTAAGTAGGGATACCAGTCGCTATACCTACTCTTGGCAACCTTTATATGTTTTCATTGTTTTCCTGCAACTCCTCAAACCTTATCCGCCCACAGTTTATTAGGGATGATATTTGAGATGTTAGCTAAGTTTAATTGAAAGAGCATGGAGTGTGTGTCAGGAGACTTTTATTGTTCTTCCATCATGTGACCTGGGGAAGAGGGCTTTCTCTTTGACCTCTAATTTCCTCCTTTGTAAAAAGATGGCTCAGAGGTTCCAAAGTCCCTTTACTTTCTCTTGTTCCTGATGGTGGTCCAGGTCCTACCTGAAGAAATCCCAGAATTGGAGAGAGGAAGAACATCACAGATAAACTGGTCTCTTTCCAACATGACCCAGGCCCTCTTGTGGTCATGCTTCTGGGTGGTTAAGGATCTGTCAAGAAACAAGAACATCAAGTTACTGATGCTTGCTCTGTCCTCCATAGATCAACTTTCCTGCCATCAGTTCCTCTAGAACTGTATTGTCTTATGTGGTTGCCACCAGCTGCATGTGGCTTTGTACAGTACTTAAAATGAACTAAATTTAAAAATCTAGTTCCTCAGCCACTCAACCCCATTTCAAGTGCTTAGTAGCTGTGGGTGGCTGCTGTCTTTGGCTGAGTAGACACAGAAAGAATATTTCTGTCATCACAGAAGGTTCTGTTGGTTCTGGAGCAGAATGCTGCCCTAGGAGCCCCATGCCTCTGAATTGCATTCAGCGACCTGCCATCAGAGAGTTTTGATTGTCACTCAAGGAGAGTCAGTGCAACCCCAAGGGGAGTTCTCTGATTTTAATTGCGCTCAAGTTAACAGACTCATTGTTCCCAGTAAAAGAATCCTTACTCAACATTTGTAACTCAGCCAGGGACTCAACAGGCTTTCACTGAACTCCACCCACTTCCTGTGGGCTATTTAAGTGAGGAATGAAGGTGGCCCTGCCTTCACATAAATACGTATATAGACAGACAAAAGAGAATGGAATGACAGGGGGTATTTGCACACAAAATATTGCTGTTCAGACTGTAGGAACCAGAAAATCTCTGGAATTTTTTTCTTTTAATATCCATGGAAAATTGCAGACAGATTAAACAGAATGATCAGGTCACGGCAAAATTCTTTGCCATTTATATATTAATATTGTCATTGCAAACCTAAGTGTCATTGAGTTCCAAACTAAATAAAGGTTTTATGAAATAGTTTGTCTCATCCAACTTTAAAAAGATAAAACATTTACTGTCAGCCAAGCACTGTGCTCACTGCTTCATCTGCTTTTTCTTATTTGAGTTTCCTGATAATCCCCCGAATCAACCAAGGTCACCCATGCAGCTGTGGAGAGAGGGCCCTAGGAAGCAGATGAAGGCACAGGCTGTGGAGGAGGGCAGACTGGGTTCTAGTCCCACTCTTACCACTTACTAAACTTGGGACTTGGGTGCTTACTAAGCTTCTATTCTCTATACTTTCCCTGACTGTAACATGGGGGATACAGACATCTATTTCATATGATTATTGTGAAGGTTGAATCAGAGAAGGCTAGGCTTAGTGTAATACTTGGCACACAGAATGTGAATAAAGGGGGCAGGGGTCATCTTTCCAATCCCTATAACAGTACACTGTGTACATATCCAACATTCAGCAACTGTTCATGGAATAGATAGATGGATGGGAAACAGAGGCCCCATTTTCCCTCACCTGCAGAACACTTCCTGGAAGGATAGGTGGTCATCTAAGTGGAAGGACTTGAGGGAGGCCAAACCCTCTTATTCAACCCCAGATATCTTCCCAGTGGCCATGGCAGCTGTCTGGAAGGTTTAGCTCACCCCATTTATCACTCACCCTATTTGGGCTTCTCTGGTGGTGCAGCATACAGACCCTGCATGCGGTGCAAGTAGCTGAAGGAGACATGGATTCGATCTCTGGGTGGGGATGATCCCCTGGAGGAGGGCACAGCAACCCCCTCCAGTATTCTTGCTCGGAGAATCCCATGGACAGAGGAGCCTGGCGGGCTACGAGTCAAGGGGTTGCAAAGAGTCGGACACGACTGAAGCGACTTAGCACGTTTCCCATTTAGCTAACAGTCTCTGTTAAAAGCAATGGTCACTTCAGAGCCAGGGTGCACTAACACTCAGTGTTGTGTGCCTTGGTCCTGGTCCAGCTAAAGAGGCTCCCATCTAAGGCAGCGCTGTGCA